TTCACTCATTTACAGTATATAGAATATTTATCTGCGAACCTTGATTTTTAGATGTTTTGGAATTTGCCTACTGTCATATCTTTTATCCGTATCTTTTATCACATGATATTTTCAATATAATTTTGAATTCTTTTGTATAAAAATATGGTGCTTCTATTTGAACTAATAATACGAAAAAAATTCTCTTAATTTAATTCGATTTAAGGTTTTACTAATACGGAGATTTTTATAATTTGATTTTAAAAACCCTAAATCTAATTAAATTTGGAGATTTAAAATAATCAAATTCCAAAAATTTGTAGTATTAATGAATAATCTTTTATTCAGATATCACATTATCAGATTCATAAAATCTGATCTTGTATTTAAATGAGATTAAATAATAACCATGTGCTTTGTTTTTATTGTCACTACCCCAAATTTTGAAGCATAATTGTACCATTATTACATTGTTGATTGGTTAATAATAGATAGCTATAATATATATAACATTGATAGTCCATCTGAATTGCAATCTTCAGCCAGTTCAATTGCTACTTAGATGCTTTTTTTCATTCTTGATGTACTTATATCATTTAAAAACAGAATTCTAGATTAATTTCGTCCATTTGAATCATTATCTAAAAGTAGAACTATTGTAACAAAAATGAAAAACGATGTCAAGAAAAATTTGCATGCATTAAAACATTATCGCGGTTTGCATATTGATGTAACTTTGTAGATCCCTGCACACCCTGATTGTTTCCGATTGCGTGATAGTAAAGTGCGTTTTTTGGCCAAAGGTTCAATATAAATATATTATTTAAGTAAATATCTATGTTCGCTAAAAAATCACTGCAAATCGCGCAACCGAACAACAATTAGCGATCTACAAATTTGATCACCGCGATAAACAGCATGCAGAACTGATGCATGAAAGTCACTATCTAAACTTTATGGTTTTATACAGTGACCTTTGACCTTTCGGATGTATTTGGAACAAAGAGGACAATAACATTCACGAGGCTTTAACCTTAGCAACAGCAGTGACGGCTACGGCAGTGACTTCAGAAAACATGATTGTAACGACATTATGAGCAACGTTTAAACAACATCGCGCCAATATTAAAAAACAAACAATGTATTAATATAATAAAAAAAGAAAACAGCACAGATCAATTTTATATTAGTCAAAAACTTACATGGCCAATAGAGATAAACGCATTTAATTTATTTTACTATATTTTTTTTATTATTTTATATGCATATAATTATTTTCAATTCCAAATCCATTTCGATAATATTATCAAATATATTATTTCTTTGTCTTTTATATTGAATAATTGATAATGGCTGGGTTGCTGATGCATGTGAATCCCGTAAACATTGAAATATCGTATACACGCCATTACATTACTCCTGCGCCCACAGCGTAAAACATGAAATTTATAGCGTTGAATTTCTTTACTTTCGTTAAATTAACCATACTGTCACTTAATTTATGGGAATGTTGTATAAAATTAGGATGTATATAAGAACGCTGAATTCAATAAAGAACGGTCAGTTTATGTATTGTCTTTGAATTCGACTTGTAACTTAATAAACCCATCCGAGACCCAACTCGACGGACTGAATTGACTTGAAACTTTGATTCGGTTTGTTAAGACTCGAATTTTGGTGTACTTGTGGAATCAAATATTTCCATTCACGTTGGTTACTTGTGGAAATTGTGGTAGAGAACGAGATTATGATTAGTTACCAGCTCTACTGACTCATCACCTGATAGCATTAAGCATAAACATCATTCTAATATATCACCCAATATTCCTGCAGCATAATAATTATTAAAATCACCCGGCATATTAACACCAAGTATTCATTGTAGAACAATGTTTTCACAAATCATGTTTTTTTCAAAATCAAAATTTATCTAAAGTATACTTCATAACTATCTTTAAATAAGAATTTCATCAAAATTATTAAAAACCGCATTTCTAATCCCCTACAATTATAAATCTTGCTTGAATTAATTTTAAATTATAATTAATATCCGTAGATTTACCCAAAATTAAATCTGCAGACTATATATAATGTACAAAAAATCTGCGAAAAACGTGCAAAATTCGAATGTGTTTAAATAAAAAATTTGTGGAATAAATTTAATCTCACTCCGCAGATTCCGCATGCCAATTTTAAGCACCGAGTACAAGTTACTCTCGCTATAGTAAACTCTCAATATAGTTTAAAATTTTACTAATTGATCCTCGATATAGTAAAGCGAACCGTACAGCCCGATGACTTTACTATATATAACGAGAGACTTAATCTATAAATTGTTAATCAAAGATTATTGTATAAATTATTAAAAATTATTTTATATAATTATTAATAATAATTGAATCTAAATATTTATATTTTTATACAATTACTAGAAATTTATTTTATTAAATGATAGATCACATAATACAAGGCCAATGAAATATCTAAAAATTTGCATTATAAATCAATAAATTTATATTTTTGGTTTTACATGTTAGTGCAACTACTACAATATTAATTCTATAGAAACATGTTTTTGAATTAAATAAGTTCTAAATTAATGGGTTGAATAATAACAGCTACAGTTTTATGAGATCAGTAATGACGGATAATTTTTAGTGCTGTAAGAGTCGTTATGTTACTGAATTAGCATTGTAGTTTTATGGATTTTAATATTTGTAGTAGTTGCAACATTAATAATTGTAACTATTACAGATGCATTAGTCATTAAATTAGTGTGGTAACAATAGTTAATGTCTTTTAGAAGTGATAGTAACAGCAGTTATTGAGGATTAGTGATAGATTCATCCGTAGTTTTATAAGTTTTAATATTTGTAATAATTGCAAGATTAGTGATTGTAGCCATAACAGATGAATTAGTTATTATTAGGTCTTCTCATCTTTGTCTTCTAATGGTAGCAGGTTTAGTAGTGGTGGGAATTGCTTGTGAAGTAGTGGTGGTAGCATGAATAGTGGTGGTGGGAATTTCTTGCGTAGTTGTGGTGGTAGCAGGTTTAGTGGTAGTGGGAATCACTTCATTAGTGGTGGTGGTAATAGCTTGTGTAGTAGTGGTAGCAGCATGTTTAGTGGTGGTAGCAGCTTGTTCAGCAGCGCGTTCAGTGGTGGTAACTGCCTGTTCAGTGGTCGTAGCTGCGTGTTCAG